CCCCCCCCAAAAAAAAGCCCATGTATCAATGCTCACACCAGGGCTGTGTATAAGGCGGGGAAAATGGGGCCCCATGGCCCCGCCGCCCATAGCCTGCATAAAAAAATCCCCCCCAACCATTGGCCCATGGTACTAGTATTGCGGCTGCACTGGGGCCCATACTCTAAAGGGGCTCACCGGGTGGCAATACACTTAGGGCCAACCGGTGAGCACATTAAGCAAGGGGTCTGGTCGTGCTGTTAAAGGGTACATAGGTAAAGAGCCCACGGAGCAATGATCCCACTCACCACCAGCATCCAGAATGTACCCACGTTAAGAGCCCATGGAGCAATGTTCCCACTCACCACCAGCATCTAGAATGTACCCAGAAAAAGAGCACACGGAGCAATGCTCCCACTCACCACCAGCATCCAGAATGTACCCAGAAAAAGAGCCCACGGAGCAATGCTCCCACTCACCACCAGCATCCAGAATGTACCCAGGTAAAGAGCCCACGGAGCAATGCTCCCACTCACCACCAGCATCCAGAATGTACCCACGTTAACTCACCACCAGCATCTAGAATGTACCCAGAAAAAGAGCCCACGGAGCAATGCTCCCACTCACCACCAGCATCCAGAATGTACCCAGAAAAAGAGCCCACGGAGCAATGCTCCCACTCACCACCAGCATCCAGAATGTACCCAGGTAAAGAGCCCACGGAGCAATGATCCCACTCACCACCAGCATCCAGAATGTACCCACGTTAAGAGTCCATGGAGCAATGTTCCCACTAACCACCAGCATCTAGAATGTACCCAGAAAAAGAGCCCACGGAGCAATGCTCCCACTCACCACCAGCATCCAGAATGTACCCACGTTAAGAGCCCATGGAGCAATGTTCCCACTCACCACCAGCATCCAGAATGTACCCACGTTAAGAGCCCATGGAGCAATGTTCCCACTCACCACCAGCATCTAGAATGTACCCACGTTAAGAGCCCATGGAGCAATGTTCCCACTCACCACCAGCATCCAGAATGTACCCAGAAAAAGAGCCCACGGAGCAATGCTCTCACTCACCACCAGCATCCAGAATGTACCCACGTTAAGAGCCCACGTAGCTCAAACTCATTTTTCTCAAGTCGGTGTGAGCAGAAATTTTCTCTTGAGGAAAATATTTTTCTGATCCAAAATTTTGTGCACACTGAATGTTTGAAATTGTTTTCACTATAAAATAGAAACTATTAAGCCTAAAATAGTTTCTTGATAACTGTGGTACAGCCTCTCTCTCTCTCTCTCTCTCTCATGGTTTATAACATTACAGTATTACTGTGTGATAATATACTATTAGTAGTTACATAACAGTATTACTGTAATGTCAGCTTCTCTGCCCATTTTGGTCTGTCAGACAGTCCATAAAAAGCAATAGGGGGTGACTGCGCAGACAAGGCTACACACAATTAACATTTTCCTTAAAACATTTTTCTAGCTTGTTTTTTTTTCTTCTAGCTTTTCTAGCCTATATACTTCGCCTTCACCACAGTAAATATCAATTTAACCCATAAATCAAATAGATGTTTCATTCAGCCAAAATAAAATATCGGTAGCTTGTTGACTGTATTTGGGCAAGCAGGTTAATTCCCCAACTCGAGCAGAAACAGTGAATGCATTCTAATAAATACTGATACATATATATACATAAAAAATGCTTCTTATACATAAATCCCATTCAGTGGACACAATTCTAGCAAACATTATATGGAAAGGAGGAGAGACATCATGTCAGTCACAGAACGTGCAAAAGGATCTCATTAACCAATAAATGGGGAGATATACATTAATGCTTCTTAAAAATGATATGATGAGACATATAGATGGGACAGGAGAAACAAACAACCCAATTCAGCAGACACCTATAGCAAACATTATATGGAGAAATGTCACCCAAAGATATGTCAAAAGGAGCTCCTTGCCAAATAAATGATGACATGTATATTAAAGCTTCTTTTAACACAAAGATGCACACTCTCAATGACAGACACACACAATCTTACTGATTTAAAACAAACACACTGACAGACACGCTCACTGACAGACACCCTCACTGACAGACACACAGACACACACTCTCAATGACAGATTCGCAATATCACTGATTTGAAATACACACATGGACAGACACACACACTGACAGAAGCATTTACTGAATTATACTCTCACTGACAGACACACACTGATATAAATAATCCCTGACTGACACACACTCTCAATGACAGACACACAATCTCACTGATTTGAAACACTCATTGACAGACACATTCACTGACAGACATATTCACTGACAGACACACTCACTGACAGAAACACACACACTGACAGAATCAATCACTGACAGACACACCTTCAGTGGCAGACACACTGACACACACTCTAAATGACAGACACACTAACACATTTACACATTCTTGCACACACACCCACAATTTATTTGATTTCTTCTTGTTTTATTTTTTTAGGCTCATCCAGCCTCCCTACCTTTAGGAGAGCTGGTGTGGGTCCTCTCCCTTGAGTCCAATGGGAATCATCTCCCTGAGGGCCAGTGTGATTTTCTCCCTGGGGTCCAGTGGGGATGCTCTCTTAAGGGTCCAGTGGGGATATTCTCATAAGGGTTTAGTGGGGGTATTCTCCCCGGGATCCAGTGGGGATGTTCTCATAAGGGTCCAGTGGGGATATTCTCATAAGGGTTTAGTGGGGGTATTCTCCCCGGGATCCAGTGGGGATGTTCTCCCTGGAGTCCAGTGGGTATACTCTCCCTGGGGTCCAGAGGGGATTTTCTCCCTGGGGTCCGTTGGGTTTTTTCTCAATGCGGTCCAGTGGGGAATGGATCTTCCATTTGTTTTCTGCTCCCTTGTGCGCCCTCTGCAGTGTTGCCGGGGCCATCACATTCGACAGGGTGCATCACTTCAGAGGGCATGCGAGGAAGCAGAGAGGAACTGAAAACATGTCATCAGTGCTCCCTCACTACCCTTGCTGGCTGACTCTTCTCTTGGCCACCTCTTGGGCCCTCTGTGATAGCCTTTGACCCGCTCCTCACCGCATCTTTCACCATCTGGTGGGTGCCTTGAGGAGCTGTGCACAGTTCGAAACCCTCTGTGAGCTCCCTCAAAAAGGTGTGTGCAAGTGCATGAGCACACACCTTAGAGGAAACAGTGCCATGGAGAATCATCTCAATAGACCAGATTGATTAACCGCCGAAGATGTCCTTGCTTTGCTGTGTTGCTCCAGGATGTGCAATTGCAGAATAACATCAAGTGTGCATTGCTGATGTCATCCTGAGAAAGATGCCCGACCATGAATAGGCGCAATGTAACAGCGTCCTAACAAACTCCTTCATTTTGAAACACATTTCAAGAGTGCTCTATTTTTATCAAGAACATTATTACTTAAGGAAGTAAGATAGGGTGTGTAAGGTAGACACATGAAGCAGGTATTGATAGGTCACTTATATAAGTATCTGAAGATTAGAATGCTTTTCATATCCTTAGTGTGAACTGGACTTCCTGTTGGAGTTATGCATTCCCTGTGTTTGCAAATACAAGAAGGAATGTCTTATGTCTGGCAGACCTCGGTGTAATCAGACCTGGGGCTAGCTAACCCCTAATCCATGTAATAGCTTAACCTTAACAAAGATCTCAGTGGAGATGAAAATGTTGTTTCATTTGCCTATAATTCCAATAAAAGTGTGACGCAAGTGACCTTGAGTACTCTTTATTATTGTCTATTCCTTTTTTGTGCAATGATTTCAAGTCATACATCACAAGATGACTTCATGTTTGGAACCTGTATGGACTAGTTACCATCGGTTCCTTTGGTTGTGGAAACCAGTAGTAGACTTTCCATGTTTGAGACAGCCATTTCCACTAACATTACAGAATTTGTAAGTTGATCCCTAGCCTACTCCACCTGCTGGACACTGTGGGGTTATTATGCGATACAAATGCCCCCAGAATCGATAGTACTGTGTGTTGAATGGATTAACTTCCATGAGTTTATGCTGTGGTACTGTGATGATCCTACAGGGAAGCTATAAATTCCATGACAGACTTTGCACTTTAACATCTTCAGCAGAAGGTTGAACAAAAGACCCA